ACATGCCTGATGTACACTTACCAAAATAACTGCTGTATGCCCAACTCACCAAAGGAGAAAGGAAATGGGGAGATCAAAAGAAGCGCTTTAAAGACACCCCCAAGATAAACATCAAGAGATGTGGCATCAACACCACACACTTGGAGACAGCAGCCCAGGATAGGGATAACTGTTGAAGACTTGTTAGACAGTGAACGTCCACTTTTGAGGAAAATCGCCTTGCCCTGGTTGCAGAAAAATGCCAGAAAAACAAAGGAAAGACAACTGTCATGCAGCAATCGTGGCCCAACCTTGTCTTCTAACACCACCTGCAATGTCTGCCAATGAGCCTGTGGCTCAAGGATCGGACTCCTCAGTCACCAAAGGACCCATGAAAAATAAAACCTGTTAAAGAGATCATCGTCGACCTGAAGGGATTGCCGACGACAAAAGACTCTAGATTATTTGTTCCACTGCACTAAGTGCAGTTGATGTGAGGGGAACACAGAACTGAGTATCATCAGTATTCTGAATGTAGTGCAGCTCCACATTTCCTCACTACCTGTCCTAGCTACTTCTTATACATGTTGAGCAGGAAGGAAGAAGAAATTGACCCCTACTGTGCCTGCCCCACATACAAGAGCTGTTGGAGCAAACGGGCAATGCCCCAAGCCAATCTTTTGGGCTTCCCAAATATTGACAGTTGGAAGTACTCCATACCAACTTCAGTCACGCCTAACAAGCAGAGATGTCCCAATAAAACTACAATCAATAGTACCAAAGACAGCTGACAGATCTAATAAAATCATCATGGACATTGCTACCCCAAACTCAGGCCTAAAACCCAATCGATCAAATTCTAGGAATTCTGATGACTAAAGAAATTGATGTTTTCCTACTATACCCTTTCAATGATGCTTCACAAATGGGAAGTTTGATCCAAGTCATCAGCTTCAAGCGATAATTTCTTAAAGCAGCTATTGTATGATTCTTGATTTAAGGACAGCAGGCACCCAGCCTCCCTGCATAGGGATGTGTTGACACACTCCACCAGCAATGGACCCGGTACTTCACCACTGGCTTACTCCAGTCAGGAAAGACACTGATCTAACTCACAGGTCATGGCTCAGAGAACTCCTAACAGCTCCAGAATCTCAGTGATCGAGACTGGCCAAAACTATGACACAGAAAGGCTGTTGCTCTGTCTTCATGGAGGCAGACAGATCAGTACATATCTAAGTGATTCTATTCATAAAATAAACTGAAAACTCTTCAAAAATGTGAAAAACCTTGACTCTGTAACAGACTGAAGACAATGAGGATTCACCCACCTGGAATGGATCTGTCATGTGATACACTGCTAATACTACAATGAAGATGAAGGCATTTATCTTCAGCTCCACATAGGACTTTAGAAATTCTCTGTATTGCAACTGACTAGATTTTGTTATCCGTGCTTTAGCCAGCTTCACACTTTCTCCAACACAGGAAAGGTGTGGAATTCATTCCCATTATTCAGTGCAAGATTAATTTATAAACAGCAAAACACACTAATTGTTCTGTGACGAATCACTAATGAAACTTTGAAAATAGAAAGAATAGAAATATATATATAAATTCTAATCCTACAGCCACTGGACTCTAATAACACAGCATTTGTAAGTGCAGATTAAAAGTCTTTGCTTGTAAATTCCCACATTTCTTTCTCACATTCTTTTGTTATTGAGTTATTAATTTTTTTTATTCACTTACTATAAAACCCATTCATAATACTGGAAACTGTCATTAAGATAGTTGTTGGCATTCCTGCCCAGCCGCGTGCTGCTATGTTAGCAACAACACAGCTTTGTTATGCCCTTTTATCTTTTCAAACCGTAAACTTTTCAGTAAATCTGGTTCCCTCTTTGGGTACTGTACCTGCAAGGCTTCTGATGAGAGGATGCCCTTCAGAATCCCTTTCTGAGCATGTTTAGCCGTTCTGAGACAGAGCAGCCTGTCAATGAGTGACCTTTCTCCATTTTTGTTATGAAGTTTTTTTCTGGGTTGTTTGATTCATAGAAGCTCACATTATGACTGTGCCTATTAAAATGAGCCACCTTATCTACCACTACGTCATCTTCTCCTGTCTTCTCCCCATAAACTGAAGTTCACTGTGGTGAATGCAGAAGTGCACCTTCACATTCCATTTCATTTCTGACCTTTGGTCTGCGTACATTGTCTCTCAATGCAGACAAAATGGAAGATGAAATAAAAGGACGACAACAATAACAATCAGAGTGACTAAAACACCCTCCACTGGAAATCCTATCTGGCAATTTGTGTGTGTCTATGTAGAGTGAGAAGCAGACACTGGATATTCTGGAGTATATATGCAATTAAATCTCTTAGTGTTAATGAGTTACATGTGTACTTTGCCAGGAAACTATACCGTCTGTTTGTTTAGGCTTATCAGGCAGTCAGAGATCAAAAGTGTGATTTGAAGCAAGGAAAGTGAATACATACCATTTTGCCATAATGAAGAGACACATGCAGAAAGAATGCTTGTAAAGGATGAAAATTAACAAACAATGGAAATGTGATAAGAAAGAGAAAAATCTTGCATTGGGATCCGCTAATGTGCGTATGAGATGCGTAAGCACAAGAGTCTGTGCTAGCAAATACCAATCCAGGATCAGGGCCAAAACAGGGTACTGTGCCTCTTTGGAGCTAATGGATTAGCTCTAGCATAATTTCTTCTTTATGGGTAGTTTTTAAAGGACTCACGTCAAAATTTTGTCATTATGTTTTTTTAAATCCTTATTTCCATTAATTTAAGGGGCTGCTGTTATGTTAAACGATGTTAAGCATTTTACCAATTTCAAAAACATAATATGCCCGTCAGCATTTATGATCGCCTACTTTTTTGCATTCCTATTAATGAAAATAGCCTAACTTCACTTCTATGTCTAGAAAATATTTTCAGGCTCTCCTGCAGAATGTGCAATTTTTAAGTTGTGGACCCTACAAAGGAAATTCTTGTGTTTTAAAGAAAACTTTCCATTAGATTTTTCTTTTAAAATCATGTAATGATGTTTATTTGTTTTAAGTATTAAAAAAGCTTTTAATATTGGACCAAATTTGACCTGACAATATCTTTTTAAGATCGTCCATACAGGAAAATGATTATCCATCACAAACACAGCCCTACTTTTTCTAAAAAAGTGATAATACGTTGCACTTGTAGAGTGCCTTAAAGATGAGCCTATCAAAGCACTTCAGGAACATTAATGAATTTAGCCCCACAACCCCCCAGAGATCTAGGTAAGCATTAGTATCCCTATACTGAGACAGAGGAGTGATATAATTTGCCTAACATTACACAACAAAACAATGACAAGGCTGGAAGTAGAACCCAGAATGTACAACTGCCAGGCCTATGCTCTAACCACTAGGCAATTTTTCACTAGTTTTCATGTATTTTGAGCAAACACTCCTTGCATGACTTACCCAGTTGTGTAGGAAGTAATGTGAAGTTACACAGCATGTCTGTGTACACCACCCACCATCCTCTTGCCTTATTTTCACTAGGAAAAATAGTGAGTTCTTGTTAGCCAATAAGTAGTAACAAGGGTAAAATCCTAGTTAAGGCAAGGCAGTACATTGGCTTAACACGAGTCAGCAGAAATACTAGGCTTTCCACTTTACCTTAACCTGCTAACTTCTGTTAAAACTACAATCTGCCTTTGCCTTGGCTATGTCTTCACTACCAAAAAGGTTTTTACAAAGAGACAGGATTTCCCTCGTGTTAGTTCCCATGCATTAACTAATTCAAATTCAAACCACACCCTTTTTCCTAGCAGAGTCCTACCCTTGTAGAGCATGTGCCCCTCTACCACTTGCAGTGGACATGTTTCTCTGTCACTGCACTTAACGTTTGCAGCCCAGAGGGGGTTTAACCATCATGTAGTGCCCTGGGAGCAGGCAGCTGGGGATGAGGAGACAAATGCCTCTATCTTACCTAACCCACGTGCAGCAAATTTCTCCTCCTTTGCACCCGCCCTCATGGGGAAACATCCCTCCTGGGGAGGGCTGGGGGAAAGCAGTGTGGCCTAGTAGGAATAGTCACTAACTCAACAAGAAGTTTCAAAGTGGTAGCCGTGTTAGTCTGTATCAGCAAAAAGAACGAGGAATACTTGTGGCATCTTAGAGACTAACAAATTTATTTGGGCATAAGCTTTCATGGGCTAAAACCCACTTCATCGGATGCATGCAGTGGAAAATACAGTAGGAAGATATATACACACAGAGAACATGAAAAAATGGATGTTGCCATACCAACTCTAACCAGACTAATCGTTTAAGGTGGGCTATTATCAGCAGGAGAAAAAAAAACTTTTGTAGTGATAATCAGGATGGCCCATTTCAAACAGTTGACAAGAAGGTGTGAGTAGGGGGAAAATTAGCATGGGGAAATAGTTTTTACTTTGTGTAATGACCGATCCACCCCTAGTCTTTAGTCAAGTCTAATTTAATGGTGTCCAGATTGCAAATTAATTCCAGTTCTGCAGTTTCTCATTGGAGTCTATTTTTGAAGTTTTTTTGTTGAAGAATTTCAACTTTTAGGCCTGTAATTGAGTGACCAGGGAGGTTGAAGCGTTCTCCAGCTGGTTTTGGAATGTTATAATTCTTGAGGTCTGATTTGTGCCTGTAGCCCCAAGCCCCGCCCACTGGAGACCACGCCCCTCCCCAAGACACCCACTCTCTGGCTCCACCCCCATACAGACCGGGCCCCTCCCTCTAGTTCCTGCTAGCGTTCTAGCCCTGCCCAGTCCCAGCCCCGCCCCTCTTTCTAGACGAGCGGGAGCCAATGGGGAAGGAGGAATAGTCAGGCCGCGCCTCCAGCGGCGCGATCGTTTCGGGGTGAAAGGTTACGCGGCGTTGTCCAAGATGGCGGGAGGTTTCTGTTTGTGCTCGCTAGTCAGGTGAGGGGCGCCCCAGCTCCGGGGTTTGTTGGGGGGAGGGAAAGAAAATAGTCCCTCCGCCTCCCCGGCTCGCTGGCTGGGGCGCCATTACCCGCCCGCAGGGGAAGCGGCTCGCTTCCTCCCGTGTCTACCCCGCAGCCGCAGGGCAGGGGCTTCCTCCCCGCTCTCGGAGTCTGCCGGCACCCGCCACCCGAGCGCTCGTCCCGCGCCGGGCTGGCGTCGCGCGGCTGCGTTCTGTGCGGGCTGGGCCGGAGCGCGGCACGGAGGTGGCCTTGGGCCCCTGTTGCTCCCTCCCCCGGGAGCGGGCTCTTGGCTCACCCCGGCTGCTCCTGCCTTAGGAGCTGTCACGCCACGGGCCGCCCTGGGAAAGGCTCCTGAGTCACGAGTCCCGGTGACTGTCAGTGAGACGCAGGCTACGGCTGCACTGGAAGCACTGCAGCAGCCCAGCTTTGTGCAGCGAGGGTTGCCCCCTTTCTGATTACTGGTAACGGGATTCCCGAGACCCTGCCCTGCCTCTATACTTTGCTCCCTCCCCTCCCAGCTGGGTTTCCTCTGCTTCCGGGCGGGGATGGGAGCTGCTGTAGCCTGCCGGTAGGGGGAATCCTTGACTGAGGAGGGGCTGGCGTGGATTAATTATCTGGATCCTACCCCGGCCCTCCAGTAGCTGGACTTTTGGTGTCCAGTCAGTACATCTGACCGGACACTGCAAGGTCCCCTTTTCCACAGGGCTTTCCAGTTAAAAACCAGGCACTTAGCAACCCTAAATTGCACTTGGACACAGAAGCCAAAACCTGGACAGGTGGCAACCCTAAGTGCAGACACTACAGCAAGAGGAGGGGTTCTTCCATAGCCGCAGGAAATCCTCTCCGAGAGCCAGCAGCTAGGTCAGTGGAAGAATTCTTCCAGTGCCCCAGCTGTGTCTAACTACATCACACAGGGCATGACATTGTTCACAGCTCTGAGTGGTGTAGTTATGCTGACTTGACATTGTACTGCAGACCAGGCCTAGTGCTCCTCAGTGCCCAAGTCACCTCTCAAAATGGAACTTAGGTTCCCAAGTCACTTAGCCATTTTTGAAAATTTTACCCCAGGTCTCTTATATGCTGTACTCTAGGTGTGGCATCTTGGTGACTCTGTGCCTCCCACTTGCTCAGAAGGACCATACAGAGGTGGCTAAAGCAAAAAATAGGGAGTATGGACTCCTGGTTTTTGTCCTTAGCTTTGCCACCCATTTGTGAGTCTTTAAAAGAAGTCTCTTAGTACTTCTGTACCTTAGTCTTCCCATCTGCAAAATGGGATTACACTGATTTACCATGTGGGTGCTGGGATGCTTAATTTACTGTTAATAAAACAGAAAAGGACTTGCTGTGTTGCTGTAATATATAGGATCGTCAATCAAAGATCAAGGCACTGTATATTCCCCCTCCCTTTCCCCACCTCCCAAAAATAGTCCCTTCCCCAAAGAGTTTACAGTGGTTATGAGAAGCTGGAATAGATGGATGAGACAGTCAGGTGAGGAGGAAGGGAAGGATGAAATAACCTGCTTCCTTTATTGCTATCATGTAGTAAACAGCTGTCAACTCACCACCTGCCCAGTCAATGTCTGTTGGCAGTAGTCTATAGGAGTCATGCCAGAGATAGCTATATTTTGGAATTTATACTTTATTATAATTTTAGATCACCTCCATAAGCTTAGTTGTAACCTGTAATAAGCTAGCTGTTAAAACAAGGTGCTGATATCCATTACCCCTGAGAGAGAATAATCTGAGAAATTGCCTAGGAAATATATATAGTATTTACTGTTTTAAATCATTTTCTTCCATATACTATTTTTTACAAATGATGTTTGAATTTAGTTTTCCCTGCTTGTTCCAGGTTGCTGTGCTCATTGTTCATCCCTGGATTGTTCCTAAGTGGAGCTTTATGTCTCTGTTTGGTTGTACTACTGTGGGGAATACGGCTGTGGCTACAACAAAGGAAAAATCAGTTGGCCTCAACAGGAAAAGATGGGAAACATCAATTGGTTGTTGCATTTTTCCATCCATATTGCAATGCAGGTGGTGGAGGGGAGAGAGTCTTGTGGTGTGCCATAAGAGCACTGCAGAAAAAGTAAGTGCACATGCTTAGCAAAGTGCAAGTTTATATTGCAGTCTGACTTTTCCTGATACTTTTTATGGTATTATCTATGCACTTTTTGGCAGCCCATATATTTAAGTAGACCACATCTAATCCAAACAGTTGCCTGAGGCATTCAAACACTGCATCTTAAAACCTCTTTACCCTTTTGACATATCCATTGGTCTACACTACACTCTTTCTCCTTTTTACTTTTGGTTTGCACTAGAAGGACCAGTTCTGCAGTCTTGAAATTTCATCTTCTGAGTGGGAATATCCTGCCCTGCAAGTTGAATTCTACTAAATAACAACATGGTTTATTTTAATTAGCCAAAAAACAACCCCAAGTTTTTGCAGATCAAAGAAATGTGTTTTTGTTTTTTTTTAAATAAAAAATCTGGTTCAGGTAAACCAAACCCAATATTGTTTAAGGCCAACATGTTTAAGACCGAGGCTAAAAGTTTGTTTGTAATTTTGAGGCGGAAATAAGTCTCAGTTGCATAACACGTGACAAATGTTTATAGAAAAAGATTTGTGAAATTCTTCTTTACTGTACTCTTTCAGGTACAAAGATGCAATATATGTTGTCTATACTGGCGATAAAGATGTCACTGGAGAACAGATTGTAGAAAGTGCTTTCAGAAGATTCAACATCAAATTAACTCATCCTGTGAAGTTTGTGTTTCTAGAAAAACGTTACCTTGTAGAGGCCTCTCTTTACCCCCACTTCACTTTGCTGGGTCAAAGCTTAGGATCTGTGTTTCTTGGTTGGGAAGCTCTTATGAAGTGTGTTCCTGATGTTTACATTGACTCAATGGGTTATGCCTTCACATTGCCTCTGTTTAAGTACTTAGGAGGTTGCCGTGTTGGGTGTTATGTTCATTATCCAACTATCAGCACTGACATGCTTTCTATGGTTAGGAGTCAGAATGCCAGATTTAACAATGCAGCCTTCATTACAAGGAATCCCCTTCTCAGCAAACTCAAACTTGTCTATTACTACTTGTTTGCTTTTGTATATGGATTGGTTGGTTCTCGCAGTGATGTCATTATGGTTAATTCTTCATGGACCCTAAATCACATCCTTTCCCTCTGGAGAGCTGGCGCTTGCACAAGTGTTGTGTATCCACCTTGTGATGTTCAGACATTCCTGGATATTCCATTACATGAGGAAAAGAGCACCACAGAATATTCCATTGTCTCTCTAGGACAGTTTAGGCCCGAGAAGGACCATCCTTTGCAAATCAGAGCCTTTGCTAAATTCTTGGAAAAGACAGCTCTGGGGCAGCAGTCCTTGCCAAAGCTCATCCTGATTGGAGGCTGTCGTAACCAACAAGATGAGCAGCGTGTAAACAGACTTAAAAAGCTTTGTGAAGAGCTAGGCGTTGACAAAAAGGTGGAGTTCAAAGTAAACATTCCATTTGAGGAGCTAAAGCAGTACCTGGCAGATGCAATTATCGGGCTGCACACCATGTGGAATGAGCACTTTGGAATTGGTGAGTACTTTTCCTTGACTTTAAGCACCTTAAGGCTCTGAATTCAGCTGGGGGAGGGGAGCTTGCTTTATGAACATGAACGAGGTACAGAAATAGGGACTTGCTTACTTTTCCCATCTGTGGAATGGGGTAAGACTGACTGTACCTCTCTGGTATGCGGGCAGGATGAGACAAGCTTGCATCCTAATAGATGGACTGATTACTTGGCTGTGGCTTCAGCAAGCTGAAATTGATGTAATCAGCCATTACTAAACTACAGTTAACAAAAGTAGCAACAGAAGTGACTTATGCTGTACAGTAAAGCCTGTTCAGTCAGTTCAGAAGCATACTCTCTAGCTGATAGAATTTTCCTCCTATATGGTATCTTGATGGTTTTTCTGTTACTGTCTTCATTCTCTTTCTTTGCCTACTCTTGCTTCTCACCTCCCCCTAAGCCTTTTTTTAACAATACACCTCTACCCCGATATAACATGAATTCAGATATAACGCGGGGGGGATGCGCACTCCGGCGGATCAAAGCAAGTTCGATATAACGTGATTTCACCTATAACGCGGTAAGATTTTTTGGCTCCGAGGACAGTGTTACATTGGGGTAGAGGTGTATCTACTTTGTTTCCACCTGTGCGAATCTGTTTGTTGTCTTCCATTATTGGCTTTTTCCCATTTCCTGCTACTACTTATTGGATTTTTCCCTTTACTAAAACTGCTGAGACTTTTCATTCTTGCTCTCATTTTGCTGCGGTAAGGGGATAAATATTAGCAACAGTGTCAATTGTAACATAGCTGATTTCTCTTATGATTTCTCTTAACACGGCTGCTACTCTGAAACCTCTCTTATGATTGTGCAGTGATCAAAAATGTTTTCTTCTGTGTTCTGGTCCAGGCTCAGTGCTTAGAATTACCTTCAATACCAGTAAATTTTTGTAATGGTCCCTCAAAGGAATTCTGGGCCTGTCAAGTCACAAGATATTGGACTTTTAAATCCGCAATTATAATTTTGCTCATTTCCACACCCACCCTCTTCCCAAAGATTTCACTTTTTGCCAGAATAGCATGTAGACACCCCACTCAGATTATGGCCCTGAATTCCAGGATGATTTAGCAGCTCACCTTTCAGGGTTTTTTATCTTTAGAAAATAGGATTCCAAGCTTTAGGATATAATTACAGCATTATTTTCTACCTCTGGCAATTCTTGAGCTTAACAGCATTTAAAATGTCAGAACTGCAGCAAAGAAGCAGAAAGACAGTAATCAGAATGGCTGTCTTTTGAGGGTTGTTGTGTAATCTATGGGGGTCGAATACAAATGCTATGTACTATTCAATTCCAGCACTCTTCTAGTATCCGAAGGTGTTTTAACTATTTGACTTCAGCTGTTGCTAGTCCCTGGGGTTAGCAGTGTGCCTAGTTCAGTGCACCTTCATTCCGTCCACCTCTACTCTTTTCAATATGTAGCTTTTTATTCAAGTCATATTGTGTCTATTATACAAATCAGACTAGTGAAATGTATGAAAAATCTCAACCTAGAAATCCAATGTTACAGTACGAGTTGGCTGTAACTTGAAAGATATGGCTAAAGCCTCTGGATAGCAATGACAAACTGAAACAGATTTTCTTTTGTTATAAGGCCTGCTACTCTTGTCAGACTGAACTTGAACTCAGATGTCAAACAGTCAGATGCTAAGAAATTAAATGATAAAACAGCACCTAATACCAGTTTAGAATTCTATCACTGTATGTCTTTTCCCTGCAGTTTTAAGTGTTCTTGAATCCATAAGTAGAGATGGTCTTCCCCCCTTCCCCTCCCTCAAATTTTGATGACATTTAAAAAAAATTGTCATCTTTCTAGAACACTTTTCAGAGTTCAGATGGAAAAACAAATAGAAAACTGGTTTTCCAATATCACCCGCCCCCCCCCAAAAGGCTGAGTGAGCAAGCACTTTTGGTTTCACTGAAAGTTTTTATTTGTATCCAATCAGCTGAAAATTTTTTTTTTTTGGGGCAACTAAAAAAAAATGATGAAAATGTTGGTGTAGGTTTTTCAATGAAAAATGTGAAACATTTGGGAAAAAATGGTTCTGAAGTGTCTATTTTGACAAAAAAACACTTCCACTGAAAAAGCTCAACCAGCTCTATGTATGTATGAGAACTGTATTCTTAATAACATGTTCTTTGTATCTTTCCAGGAATAGTTGAATGTATGGCAGCTGGCACAATTATTCTGGCTCACAATTCTGGTGGCCCCAAACTAGATATTGTGGTACCCTATGAAGGACATATTACAGGATTTCTAGCCGAAAATGAGGACGATTATTCTGAGACCATGGCTCAGATCCTTTCTTTGTCTCCTGAAAAGAGGCTGAAAATCAGACAAAATGCTCGCCAGTCTGTGAACAGATTTGCTGACCAAGAGTTTGAAGGGGCGTTCCTATCGTCTGTGGAGCAGTTATTTAAATAAATGTCATGTTTGTGTACATGGATAAAAATAATTTTATACATATGTCACTTGTAAATATTTTTTCTAATTTATGCAATAAAGAGTCCTATACATCTATTAGGACATCAGCTCTGCGCATTAAAAGATTTTTATTAGGGGAGGGAGGAAACCCCATTCCATGAAAATTAACTTTTTTCCAATGGACTTACAGGACACTACTAAAGTTTCTAAATTCCTAATGTTTTCTCATGAGTAGTAGAGCTGCATGTGGAAACTCCTCATATTTAGGTTACTTTAAAGTATTTGTTTTTTTCTTTTGGAAGACTTCTTGCCTTAAAACAACAGGCAGGGAAAACAGATTGAGTGGCATGCTACAGTGGAGGGATTCTGTTTTTTAAGATTAACACTTTGCTGATTTTGATAAGTTTTTTGTCTTGAGCATCTGACTTATCTCCAGGGTTAGTGGTAAAAGACTATTCTGAAGTTTCCGGTGATGGCTCTGCTTGCTCTTTGAGTACAAATGGCCACAATGAATGCTTCTTTGTATTTCTGATGCAAACCTTAATACACCTCTACCCCGATAGAACGCGGTAAAGCAGCACTCTGGGGGGGGGGGGGGGCTGCACACTCTGGCAGATCAAAGCAAGTTAGATATAATGCGGTTTCACCTATAATGCAGTAAGATTTTTTTTTGGCTCCCGAGGACAGCGTTATATCAGGGTAGAGATGTATTACTAAATCCTCCCTGAAATATTACATAAATCTACCAATATATATATATATATTAGGTACTCTCCTTTCACAATGTAAAAGAAAAGTTCAGTTTACATTTTCTTTGCTTGCATTCCCTAATGCAAATTTTTCAGACATCTGTCTTAAATCGGAATAAACACTATTTTGCAGCCTTAGCTGTAGTGTTCACTAAGGTTTAATCCTACAGTGCTTTTAAAAAAAGCAGGAGCAGAGGTGTAATTACCTGCAGCTGTCCCTTGTATTAACCATTTCTTCCTTGTTTTCTCCTACCCTCCTGTGGTTTTTTTCCTATTTTTAAAGAAAACTGAAAACTTGATCAGACAGCATATTCCAGTGGGTCACAAATTTGGACTTTAAACTACTGCTTAGTGTCACATTGAAACATTGTATTCTAATGGTTAAAACACTGCAGCAGTAGACTTCTGCTTTTAACAAAAATGGTTAGTTTGCTATGGCCTACTATAGGCTTTTAAAAATATTTTAGCTAAGTAAAAAAGCTAGTAAGAAGGGCAAAAACTATTGAAATCAAACAGTTTTATTATTTGTGTTCCTTCCATTTAAATAGTATCCACACAGCTAACATCTAAAATTTGAGGAGTGGGGTGAAAATGACAGCTGAAATAACTCTTTACCATGTTTTATCCTCTTCCAGCTGTCACAATTTTTTTTGCATAATGGCACTTCTAATTGGAAATTCAAATACATAACATCCTAGTGGTATGAGTAAACTTTGCTGCTATTATTAATCATTATAAAAGAGTCTAAGTGTACATGGTGCTATACAAAATAAGAGCTGTGCAAGTCAAACTATGGGTTCCTGTCTCTTAATGGTTTACAAACAGGAGCTACAAGCTGTACAGGACAACATATAATGACTGGAAAGCTTCACCAAACAGATGGATTTGGGGGAGGAGAGGTAGGGGAGTAGGTGTAGGATAACTGGAAGAGTGCACTTCTGTCATGTGGAACAGATAAAAGCACAGAGTCAGGAATGTACTAAAGAGTGGATAGAGAGGGGCAGTGTAGATGAGTAAAGATATAAGCAGGAGCTGAGTTTGCTTTTCATTTTGGCCAGAGATTTTTTTTAAAGGATTAACTTTAGCCACTTGAATAAGTAGCCTGAATGTTGAAAGTGCAGCATGTCAAGCAGCTCCCATTTGTTTCAAATGAGTGCTCAGCACTTGGAAAAGCAGGCCACTTCTTCAGGTGCCTAAATATGGATTGAGGAACCTAACTTTAGGCACCTGTTTTTAAAATATTGGCCCTGCTATGGCTGTATCTTCCAGCAACTTATGAAAGTCTTGAAGCAGCAGTCAACCTCCCATTTTAGCTGATTGCTGCTTCCTGCCTGCCTTCTCCATTACATATGTCAGCAGTAAATGGATCAGCATTATTGTCTAAAACCTCATCAGGTCTCCCAGGTATTTCACTAGCTAAGCTTTCTTTCTCTTCTTCTGGTTTGTCTTTGTTTGCTGACTGGATTGGCACCTCTCTGACTTCCTCTGCCAGAAAAGTTATCACTTTTTCTAGTGATTCCACCAGCTCATCCCTCAATTCATCTTCAGATTCTTCAAAGTTCCTAAATGTTAACAGAGAAAATGGACGTTAATAAAATGTGTCACCATTATTAACTGGGCTGGTCTCAAAGCTCATAAGGTCTCCATTTAAAAAAAATTGTTTTGTGAGGAGTATAAAAGCTGGGTATGAAATTTAAATATTTTCCTGCCCCGATTCCTCCATCCTGGTAAGCTCCACTAAAACTACAATGTAAGTGATGCAGAGAGAGCCAATGTTACCGTTGTTGAATCTGCATTTTTCTATACTTATGGTGTAAAAAGCATTAGTATTGGCATCTTCATGAACTAATTTAAGTTGACCTAATTCTGTAGCTTAACAAGATCTAAAATCCAATTTGGCTGCTAATAGCTTTCTCTGTTTAATTACACTGTGAAAAGTCTAAAGGGACAGAGAGGATTTTTTTTTTTTAAGCAACTTAGCCTGCTGGGCCAATTTTCCTAAGAAGGAATCTGTCCATTCATAGCTTTTTCCTCTTCTGGAAGAACTTGACTTAAGTTACCTTATCCACAACAGTGACTTACGTGTCATCATCATCAGATCTTGGCTCAAGTCTGTTTTCATCGGTATCGATAGTGGAGCCTGGTTCTGCATTATCTTCCTTATTCTCTTTTGGCGGCCAGGGTGATAATGTCCCCTCTGGAGAGTGGGTGGGAGTGGGGGGGTGGGGAGGGAGAAATACCTGATAAGTGTACATAAAATATCTAAAACCACTACAGAAATTCTTGGAAAGGATTTTGTTCAAATCACAACAATGCAAACACCAGACTTCACTGATTGCCATTGTTGCTGTTCATAGAAATATTTAGATAGTTATAAGTTTCAGAGTAACAGCCGTGTTAGTCTGTATCCGCAAAAAGAAGAACAGGAGTACTTGTGGCACCTTAGAGACTAACAAATTTATTAGAGCATAAGCTTTCGTGGACTACAGCCCACTTCTTCGGATGCATATAGAATGGAACATATAATGAGGAGATATATATACACACATACATACTCTCTGTATGTGTGTATATATATCTCCTCATTATATGTTCCATTCTATATGCATCCGAAGAAGTGGGCTGTAGTCCACGAAAGCTTATGCTCTAATAAATTTGTTAGTCTCTAAGGTGCCACAAGTACTCCTGTTCTTCTTTTTGCGGATACAGACTAGCACGGCTGTTACTCTGAATCTCACATCTGGCACAAAGGGCATCATTAAAATGCCCTTTAGGTCACATGGGAGCAGTAGATAGTGGGATG